GCAAATACACACTTGAATGAGTGTGTGGGGGATGACTTGTCCAGCCATGGAAATCTGAAAAGCGGGGGTGGGGGGGGAGTGCTGAGACCATATGACACTATATGACACTAGGGCCGATATTCGTCATACAGATGTACACCGGTAGTATGTATTACATTCCAGCAGAGCTTATATCGGAACGGCATATTTATGACTTGGTAAAAAACTGTTCTTCCTTTTGAGTGATATGGCGTACCAGTACAGTTTGGTTCTTGGGAAGTCCGACAAATTAATTCTTCAGTCCATCCAGTCCATCTTAATTATTTTCTCGCCACGAAAAAGTGAGGGGATTATCCAATAGGCCTAGCCTCCCCAGGCAAAAAAAAGGGGGGGGAGATAGCACACTCCCTGCCCCGATTTACGCCCCTGAATATATGACACATATAAAAAGCGCAATATGCACGTATGCTTTCCTTGGAGGAGTACAGCCCAATCATAGAGCAATTCCAGCCCTAACAGTACCCTTGCCCCTCACAATGCTTTTATTACGTACATTTACACTGGAGGACTTTGTATTCTGCTTTAACATCTACACCCAACCGAACTTTGCTCTAGAAATTCCGGCTGTCATTGTTGTGTCGAGCTGGCTGGCTAATGTTGCGACATCACAAAGCTCGATGGAAATTCCCGGCAAGCGTATAAGAACTGGTTTTTTTTTTCCATGAAAAATTTTGCATTTTCGAGTTATCCAGACTTCTGAGTACAGAGTTTGCACACAGGCATCCAAATGCAAGTACATGTAGACTATTATTTTATCTGTATATTGTAGAGGAAAGTGAAAAAATCTATAGGTCATTTGGCATTACGTACAAGGGACGTGTGAATGTACACAGGCAACAGGTGGATTCTTTTATTCTTTGATCCTTCATTTTAGTTTATTGCTATATGATAACATGAGCATATATGATTTCGCAAGACGACCAGGGTCTGGGAAACCACCATGACAGCTAAAAGAGGAAAAAAAAACTTCTGTATAACGTGCATTTTTCTGTCTACTAGTTCATTGTTCGAGATACTTCGACACTGGTGCCTTGACCAACAACTGACTCGGCAAGCGGAAAGAACTTGCCAAGCTGTTGATTTTTTCCAACCGAGTATTACTCGGTTGGAACAAGTATAGAGCCCATGCGTTTTAGACCCTCTCACAGCCGCAGGACGGATTATGCCCAAACTTGGACTCTGAGGCACATAAAACACACTCGTCATCAGTACACCTGTGATGCTGAAGTCACGGTTTACAGTGGCTGCCAAGACTCGGAAACTTTGGTATTTCGCCAGAACAGTGCCTCCGATTTTCACAAAACTTGTCTCAAATTGATCGCAAAAGAAAAGGTTGTTGAAAAGGTGTTGAAAAGGTTGAAGCCTTGATCAGTGAGATGATATTGGAGAATATGTCGGGGGGGGGATTCCGGCCCTCGTTCGGGACTTTGATCATCATCATTGTGACTGTACCGGTAACATCAATGATTATACAGGCCCCTCCCGAAACGGAGTTTCTCTTGTACGGCTATTCGCCGTGATGCGCCATAATGGCAAATCCTAACTGCTGGCCATAAAGTACCCCCTTCGGGCGGAGTCGCGGCCTGAAACTGATACTGGTGGACCACACAGGATTGTGGGTTGTAAAAATGATGAAATTTGAACAGCCGAGTCCAGCTAATATCATGCAGATACCAGCAAATAGCCAGTTGTGTTAATATACTAGGTCTAACTCATACAACCACATGAAAACACATACCCCAACATGCTCGACAGAATACCTCGGTCAATCCCTGGCAAAAACTGCAAGGAACACAAACGTTCAGTTCCGGTTGCCACACAAAGTATTTGGACATGTAGTATTTCCTGCATTCTTGGTTTTTCTTCTGTGCATCTGCAATGTAAGCAATGTATAAAACAATATATGGGCTCCCAATTCACCATTGGCTGTGCTTTTATTGCAGAGCAACTGACCCATCGCAGCAGAATTGCAAAACGCAGCTCGTGAATTATTGCATTATTATTTATAAAATGGGTGCGAAACGCGCAAATGTGAGACAAACCATATATATTCCACAGGAGGCGCGTGCCTAAATCACAAACGGCGACTGGTCAAGTACTTTTGGTCATTGTTACTTTTGTTCAGCAAACAAATCTAATGGCCCATTCTAGGAGCCACCGGTGAACCCATTTCTGCAAAGGACTTGGTTTTCGTCCTATCCTTGTCAGGGTCATTGCATGTAGATCTCTGAACACGAAAGAAGCAGGGATACAGTACTTCATAAAGATACAGAATAAAGGTGGCAGCCTGTCAAACTATGATGATGAAGGGAAGAGAACATACTATTTGACACAATACAGCAAATGGGAAATCAATTGAGCCTATTATATATACTACTTATTAAGTTCAAGCTTAAGTTAACCGCGCTTCCTGGGATATACTTTTGAAAAACTATAAAAACAGTGTAGGTGCCTTTGTTTTGAATGTTTACATTTTTGACGTATAGAACAGATTACGACTAGGACTCACCGCTGCGGTATGCAGCTAGCCTGGGCACGTGATACATTATTCCTCTCCTTTGATCTCGAGACAGGGCCGTAGGATAAGTGCCCCAAATGTTCTTTTCAAAATGGGATAATGCCAACAAACTAGTACCATGGCGTGTTGTTTTTTCCCCTACTTCTTTTGAACAACTTTCTCCTTACAATCAAATTTGCCAGATTAGTCTCGCCTCCCTAAAACTTGTAAGAGTCAGCCCTACGCGCAAGAGGTGTTATGGCTAAATGTATCGGTGCTCAAGCTATATAATACAGGTTATAGTACTTGAACTTTACTGAACATGTTGTTATTACAGCACTACAGAATAACATTTTCATTTCGGACAAAATGACTGCCGGTGAATAAGCGATGATCACTACTGATATTGTTAAAGAAAACAAAACCTACCATTAGCTATGTTTTCGTCGACGGAAAGAGCACGTTTTTCCTTCAGTAATGGTGCACAATTCCCGCTGTAAACGAGGTAGAGTGCCACCACTAAAAGAATTTTTTGGCAGGAGCTGCAATTATCTGAAGCTGGTATAAGGAACAGAAAAAAATCAGAGTTGGAAAACATAAAAAACAACCCCAATTAGCAAGTAAACAACCCCGAACTTGCACTATATTAGACCATCATATCAATTTATATCCAGTGATGGTGCTCATTAACAGCAGTAAAAAATTGAGAAGCCTACAAAGTTTTCTGTCCAGAAACTGAAATACGATATGGGACTCGAGTGAATCTTATACTAAACTTACATTAGACTATGAGTATTCCAGTGTGTGACATAAACAACTAGGAAGCAGAGCTACGAATCAAAAGGTTTGATTCAACATGTATGAGCATATTGGACATAAATCGCGAGATTTAGTTCTATCCACATATTTAAACACATTCTGATGCAAAATAAATGATGCCCAACTCATATCCTCATTCCAACCACGCTATGTTGTGGAGTGGTCCGATCGAATCACATGCCAAGAATGGAAGTTCCCTCCATGACAACACTAGATTCACTGGCAACAGTGGACCCACATTCCTGCGTGTTTGCACAAAAGGTGTAGCATGTATGTATTTGTATACATAACCATAGACAGAAAATGAACTTCCAGTGTTCCAGCTAGGTTCGTAAAATTTGTCTTTAAGTATTCCTGTGGAGGAAGTCTGCATAAGGGACATTGATCATTTTTGTTATTAACAGCGTTTCAAAGCTTATGTGGTTCACTGTGCGAGTGCATGCACCTGTGAAATTTCTTGCCCTTGCTTGTGTCCTTGCTTGTATCAACGGTGTTTACATACCAGTTGTACATGGACAACATTCTTTCCTGCTAAACCAAACCTAGTGACATTGCAAAAAATGTATGTGTACGCATTTGTATGTGGCATTGAAGCCTATGTGCATTTTGTGAAACGGCTATACCTAGGTATATAGCAGCAACCTAATTGGATTGTGTATAATTCTGTAGAAGAAACCGGAACTAGTTTCTACAGAACATAGAATTCTTGTTAGAATTTAAAGAACTCGAATTTGATCCAAAAAGAACTCAAAATAGCATCAACATTGGAGAATCCCGTGTTTAAAAATGGGTAAAAAAGAAAGGTAAAGGCTGCATTTGGCATGTGTTTCAGAATTACACATGTATGTTATTACAACCGTCATAGCAAAAGATTACACCATCGATTAAGCGTGCCTGGGCTCCGGGCCAGCTGAACATTACCACATAACACGATTCAAGGTCACACTCAATATAATCTTGACAAACAAAGATAAAAATGTAATTGCACGAGAGACACATGCACGCACAACAAAGCCAATGTGTTCATCAGTTCAAGAATCACGCAGAATACAACATTAAATTAAAATTTTATCCTTCAATCTTAGGCAGGATGAACAAAAAACAACATCAAACAGACTTTTCAAACTTGAAAGGTCATACATCTTGAAAATAGTTCGCGGTACCCGCTGCTTCATTTGACTCGGACC